CCCAGGGATGGGGACTCAACCACTTCCCTGAGCAGCCCCTTCCAGTGCTTGACAATCCTTTCGGGGAAGAAATTTTTCCTAATGTCCAACCTAAACCTGCCCTGGCGCAACTTGAGACCATTTCCCCTTGTCCCATCGCCCTTTACCTGGGAGCAGAGACCAACCCCCACCTCACTACACCCTCCTGTCAGGCAGTTGTAGGGAGTGTGATAAGGTCTCCCCTCATTCTCCTTTTCTCCAGGCTATCTGGAGGTAAGCTATGAAGCACAGGCATACGGCCAAGGGCTTTGTCATCTGTTTTTCTCTCTCGAGGAACATAAAAGTGGAAGACTTTAGGTTTGCCCACTTTTTTTTCAGCAGCTAGATGTCCTGCAGACTTTACTCCATTTCCTCCTGCTCACCACTAACTTGCTGAGTTGCATCTCAAGTGACAAAAGATTTTTTTGCAGTAAATAGCAGGTAAGATCACCCTGGACATTCAAGGCAAACAGCACATCTAACCCATGGGCCTGCAGAAGGAGAAAGGTGATATTATCATCCTAAATGCTCATTTAAACAAAGTTGCAGAGTTCACATATTCTTCAGCAAGGAGGAGAAAGGAGCAGCTACTCATTTGTTGCTCCTGACACAAGACATGAGTATCTATGATTACATCTAGAGCTGCCCAGGGGTTAAGGACCACAGGGTCTGGAGCTGACTGATGTTATGAGCAGCTCATATAATTTCCAGTGTTTGCATCCTTGAAAAATCCTATTATCCTCTGTCCTGCGTAAAACATCACTGCAGTCCTTTGGGGAAAAGCTTAATTTTCAAGCTCACTCTGCAAATGCATAATAGGCAGAGATGAGAGCCTTCCCACAAGATCTGAATCCTCTCACACACAGACCAGTTATTCAATCAACCAACACCTCAAAATACCCACAAACATCTCTCACGCGTTACCCTCAGCACCAGCACCCTATCTCCTTAGCTCAAGCAGTCATTTCTCCAGAAGACCACAGTGAGCCAACATTCAGAGAAAGGAAAAGCAGGTGTATTTATCCACTGAACCCCATCGCAGGTGAAAAACAGCTGCCTGAAATGCAGTTTTGGGCCAAAAGAGGAGAGAGATGAGGTTCACATATTAAACACAGAGTCAAGTCTCACGCGTCCTGCCAGGAGCTGCCTGACCATCTCCAGCTGGACTTCGCCAAAGTCCCTTCCACAGCTGATAACCAGAAGTTGGTGCTGGTGTGTGAACAATGTTCTGCAGGAATTGCTTTTGTTCTTCCATGGTCACACAGCACCAGGCTTGTTCGTGACTGGTCCTGCAGCATTCAAGAGAAACCAGTGCTGGAGTCTTGGACAGCAGCAGCCTCTATTCACAGAGCAGATACAAGGACCACTCTGTATTTCTGCTGTTTTGTAGCCTCCATCACACTCTGGGGGAATATGCTGCAAGGGGTCAGTTGCCTGCTGCCCAGGGGTGCCTCCCTGGCCATGGGTTTAGTCTAGCACTGACTCAAAGCCTTCATGTTTTTCAAAGTCCATGCACGGGGCTTCAAAGGAGAGGGCAGGCTCTGAGGACATGAGAAAAATAATAACACAGTTTCACATAAATCAAACTGATTAGGTGATAAAGGGTGTGGGATTGCTCTTTATCTGCTATGCAGCTAGAATAAAACCTTCAGCAACACAGGGCAAGAGGGAAGTCCTTCATTAGAAGTCTTACCTCTAGGACACACCAAAAAAATTCCCAAGCCTAGGCACTACTCTAAAAAAATAATTGCCAAGCCCATCTATGGAAAACTCACCTCTTCCACAGCCCAACACAGCAGAAAGCCCAATGTCCTGGCTGACAGATCCAAAATTTCACAAAAGCTCAATTCTTTCCTCTGAAGCCCCGACTCAGGCGCTGACTGCCACCAAGAAGTATAGCTGGAGTCTGGCCAGCGGGTGGTTCTAGAAGTGGTGGTGCAACAACCCACCACAGTGCCTGCCTCTCTTGAAGGGTCTCCTTCCATATAGAAATGCAAACGTAAGGTTTAGAAATCTAAACAGCACCTGAAAAAACAGAGGGGGTTTCAAAGTAGCAAAGAAAGCCTCCAGCTGCAGACAGGCTGGACACTCTCATTGCTCAGCTGACGGCAAATTAAGACTGCTAACGTAATCAAGCCCTGCTCCTCATTTAAGGACAACTGCCTCATCACCTAAAGGTATGAATTCTCCTAAGGAGTCCATCGTTACCACATAATACTGCGCTTACTGGTACAGAAGGTGCTTGTAAGCAATGTAAGTTCTCTGCAATCACAAGCAGCTCTCGCTTTACTGGGGGAAGGAGCAGATTTATAGTTTTGTAGCTGTTCAGGAACACTTTATCAATGTTAGATGCATCTGTAAGCAGATGGATGCTCTTGCTCTTTTCCAATTCCTAGAGAATTTTCATTTATTTCTAAGATAAATGAAAATGGAGCAGCTAGTCCTGGAGACTGTTTTAATGAAGGAAAAGAAAATCATCAGTAGTAGTCAGCATGGATTCACCAAGGGGAAGTCATGCTTGACCAACTTGATAACCTACGATGAAATGACTGGCCTGGTAGACAATGGGAGAGCAGCGGATATTGTCTACCTGGACTAATGGCAGTGTTGGGTTAATGGTTGGACTTGATGATCTTAAAGGTCTTTTCCAACCTCAACAATTCTATGATTCTATGACTTATGTAAGGCTTCCAAACATTGTCTCCCGCAAGATCCTCCTCGTGAAGAAGCTGTTGAAGCATGCGCTGGATGAGCAGACACCGAGGTAGATTGAAAACTTGCTGAATGGCCAGTCCCAGAGGGCAGTGATCAGGGGCACGACGTCTAGTTGGAGGCCAGTATCTAGTGGTGCACTCCAGGGGTCTATATTGGGTCCAGTCCTGTCTAAAATCTCCATTAATGATCTGGATAATGGGGCAGAGTGTGCCCTTGGCAAGTTTGCAGATGACACCAACCTGGGAGGACTGGCTGATACTCCAGGTCATGCTGCTATCCAGTGGGACCTCAACAGGCTGGAGAAATAGGCTGGCAGGAACATCATGAAGCTCAACGAGAAGTGCCAAGTAAGCCCTGCACCTGAGGAGGAACAATGCCAGGCACAAACATGGGATTTAATTTAATTTAATTTAACATGGGATGCAATGAATCCGAGTCTTGCTTGGGGCCTCTTCCACTAAGTTCTGTAAGGACAGAAAGTACTCCCTCAGTAGACTTATGCTTGTGGAGCAAAAGCCTTCCATATTTTTCCTTCTATGGTTATGAAAAGTATGTGGGGTTACAATGCACATTTTCTCCTGCACAGAGGGTAAAATACCCTGACACACTCAGACAAACCTACTGCAGGAGCTGGATTTCAGATAAACACCTGAAAAGGCAAGCGCTTACAGAGTGCTGCACACAAATTACAACTCCTTCTCCTCAGCTGAATTCGCTTTGGAATCCAAAGTTCAAGGCTAAGAGCACTTACCATTATCTGTTGTTAAAATAAAAAACAATTCCACAAAGAACGGGGTTTTGGGTTGCACAGTTGCCAAGTATAGGGGAACGGGGAGTAAACCCAACTCTCTAATCAACCTTCTGCATGACCTTGGGCAAGACACTTGTTGTACCTGCCTCCCTCCCTCTTCGCATGGCTATCCAGACAGCAAGTTCTTTGGGGCAACAACGCTCACCTTTCATATAATGTTGGCAAGGCAAGCTTAGATTTTGACAACGGTAACGTTAAAAATGTTCCCTGCGAGCTCCACCTCATCAGATTTCTTTAGTCTGACACCGAGTAGGCAAGTGATAAACTGACAGCTGAAATTCAACATAGGTTAGTCACAGAACAGCACACATAAGAAAATACAATCATAATCCATGTACATGAAGTAGCAGGACCAAAACTTTGGAGTTATAACAACAACGAAAGCATTAAGTCAATACTTCCCTGCTGTTGAAATAGCAGCCAGTGGTTATGCCACTATGCAAATCCGCTCTTACGAATACAGGGTCGGTAGTGCACTAGGGACACCTCATTCAGCTCCAGGCTGACACGTCCTACACGTCCCTCTCAGCTTGCCGTTAGCTTCAGGACACTGTCAAATCTCTCTTAAGTAGGCATCTAATCTAGATTCCCAGAAGTAATGAACAGTTCATACTTAGCCCGAGAGGAGATTCGGTTATTCAGCACATTTAGAGAATCAGTGTTTGCATGGGTACTTAAAACATGCCATTAAAGCTTAACATTAGGAAATCAGGCCTGAAAAATACCGAGCGCTTCATCTGAAGTGATATATACAGTACAATATTATACTGCCAATAAAGCAAGTGCATCTTACCAGGCCACCATCCTCTTCATTTTCTGTAAAGTCATAACCTTTTAAGGCACCACACAAAAAAAGAAACAAAAATACTATTGCTTCAGAGCAGTTACAAGTACGTACGTTGCAGAAAAAGGTGGGCGCACAATTTCAAGTATGCAAAGACAAACAAACAAGTAAAATTCTGCAGCTGCAACGAAGGACTCCAAATTAAGTGCTGCTGAGCCTTTTGGGAGGGTGCTGATGAATCACGGAAGGGGAAAAAAAAAAAAAAAAAAAAAGGATGTCTAGGCAGGAAGAGCTGGAGGTGTTAAATAAAAAGTAATCTGAGAAACTGCCAGAAATAGAAGTCAGTAATAAGATTCCACAGGAGGTAGGAATAAGTAAATTCAGAACCCAGTTTTTAAAGACATGCAAGATACTTGAGAAAGTCTGAGCCAACACATCAACACAGGCTAAGAGCAAGAACGTGCATTTGCAAAAAAATGCTTCCTGCTAACTACGTTATCCGTGACGAATAAGATCTGACTGAGGACCTCAGTCAGCACGTCTGATCCTTTTCAGGATTCCACATCTGTGTATGCGTTTGCACTTACTGTGGCACAGGACAACCATGCTCCAACATCATGTATTTGTACAGCACCCACTGAAACGAGTACCTGCAAAGAGATAGTTTAAGGCAACGTAGGTCTGCTAACTCATTAGGAGGAGGTACGCTTATGCTGTCTTAGTGACCCCATGGTACAGAAAAATTATTTATACCATGAATCTCCTACACAAACCACTAAACGAACAAGTCCTCTCCCCTCCATTTCCAGAGGTAAACTTTACCCCTAAGTCTTCAGCCACAATAAGGATTTTTAGAACTAAACGGTTCAAAACTTGCCAGTAAAGCAGTTCTCAGCAAATGGAAAACCTCCAACTCATCAAACTGGAAGCTCAGAAGCTGGCATTACAGAGAAAACAGCAGAAGAGCTGGTTAGGAGACACAAAAAAGAGTCTGTATACCTCAGGAAATGCTTACAGCCAGTCACTCAGAATTTGCTGAAATAAGAGCCGTAAATAAACCATGTTGCTTAAAGCCAAGTCATATTTCAAGCTAAGTTCAGACCGTATTAAATCTGTTATCAGTGCTTAACTTTCTACAGCATGCCACTCAAATTATTTGACTCTTAGAAGCAAATCTGTGCTAATGCCTATTAGGCTAATTTCTTTGTTTTACTACATAGTAGCAAAGGCCTTAAAACGTTGCTCAAGGTCGAACAGAAAACTAGCAGCAGAGCCAATAACAGAATCTAGATTCTGTTATTGCCCCAAGTGCTGTGGTTTTAGTATTAGTCAGGCCGGTTCTTCACCTCCGCTGCAGCGAGGTTTTCTAACGGTGGATTACAACCATTGCCAACAGCAGCACACGTGGTGTGGAAGTGACTGACTCTGTGGGAAGGCCTTGTGCAACAGCAGAGGACAGTAAAGGAAGCCAACACGCAGTAAGTAAAATACAAGTTTGGTTTTGTTTTGTTTTTTTTTTTTAAAAATCGTTTTCTGTTTTACAAGCGAATGTTTGTACAGAGGTTGGTGGAACACAAACAGACAAAATGAGCAAAACACGAGACCAAGGGTTTGTCATATAGATCTGCAGCCAAAACGTAGTAAAATGGCAATAACTGGAGATATTCACAGCATTGATCAACTACAGGTCTATACCCCCTCCCCCCAATACAGGTGTATAACAGGAAAAAGACATCCAGCATCAGCTTTCAAACAGCTAAAATGCCCTCAGAGCTCACTTCCATTTTAATATCTGCACAATTCTAGGTGCAATGGAGCAGACAACTGCCACCGTTGCATAGCCACCTCTTGCCAACATACTGTTCCCAAACAAAAAGCAAACATAAAATCAGGAGCAGTGCGCTGTGTATTATTTTACATCAGATAAAAAAAAATAATTGTAGTGTTTAGTAGTTTAGTTTGTCAACTCTTCAGATTTTCATATGAGAATTTTCTTCCATCGCCTCCTACTTTGAAAACTTCCACTGCCACTCTTTCTCAGAAAAACCACACCTAACCCTGATGTTACTTCACCTCAAATGTAGAAATATATATAAAGAATGCAAATGCCAGGTTTGAATCAATTAAACAAAGTTAGTTACCTATGTGTGATGTTAGAGGAAGTGAGAATCTGATAGCTGGCCAGATACAAGAATGAGTTTCCCTCAGTTCTACCTATAGCATTTCAGTAACGACCTGTAGTCAGCTAACCCTGGATATTTCTAGCAGACTGCCTGATAGCACAGAGCTCCCGCCAACAGCCCACTCATTCCGATTCAAATGGCTAAGCATTTTAAATTCCTTCCTCCTTCCATTTCCCTGGGTTAAACGTGTATTTTCTTTGGATTTGGGAAGAAAGACAGACTCATTCCTTGTTACTTTTAGTCTCCATTCTGGCATAAGAAGTATTGTCCTGGAGACAGGAGATAACAAACTAGCTGCCAAATTGTCCAACAACCCCAAATCACTCTGACCCCAAATCACTCTGGTGTGCAGACGGGGAGGACTTACGCGAGCAAGGCTGTAACTCTGAGAGATACCATCAGGGAAAATAAGCGTGATGGCACATAGTCCTTTTCCAAAGCTTCCCACTTATCGTGGATGCAGCACAGGGACTCCATGATGAAGCACCAGAACAAGGAAAGCAGGAATACAGACAAAGCATCTCCTCAGCAGTGGGTTTTCAAAAGAACGAAGTCATCTGAAAGCTCAAAAAAACCAGGATCCCCAGAGCAATAAGCAGAATTGTGCAATTCAAAAACACACAGACGTGAATCTTACTTTCAAAGGGCTTTATATTACAAAAAAATGTAAGTCACAACGAATGCGAAAAATCCATTCAATGAGGCTTGTTTCCAGTTTGCTAGGAAAGCTACTTTTCTCTTCTTTATTCCCAGCCTACCGCTGAAAACATGATTGCCAAAACAGTGACACCTCGAGCTAGATTTTTAAAAATCAAACTTGCTCTGCCAGATCCAGTACTCTGAACTTGTCCAGGTTGTAGAAACAAGCCTTCACGACTCTGCCTCCAAAGTATCTTCCATTTAGATCCACAACAGCTGGAATGGAAAGCATGAACAGGTCAGTAAGCAGCAATTCAATAACAAACATTTCTTTAGCTGAACAGTCTAATCAGTAAGACTGTTTAATCTCTCTACAGGAGTTAACTCTGAGGTTCACAGGACACAATTTAGTATCCCACCTTTGATGGCAGATTCAACCCGTTCAAACTCTAAAAATATTCTTACAGCTTCATCATCAGGGGCACCGGGAATCTGAAACAAAACAAAAAAAGCCAAACCCAGAAGTAATTAGAACAGTAACAAAAATACTGTTTTAAATTGCTCTTCTTCACAAAAGTACTGAAGAGAACACAATAAAATGTTCCAAAAGCACAATACCCAGAGATTTTTGTCCAGTTTCTGACATTAGAAATTTGTACCTTACAGGTATGGAAAACACAGACTCACAACACAGCAAAGGACCCCAGGAGATCTTCTAACCTATGCCCCTTCTCTAAGGCAGTAACAAGGCAGTTGTGAGGGACAAGCACCCAGCTCACTTTCAGAGCAGCCAAAGAGAGATTCTCTCTTACCTCAAAGATGACACATTTCCCAACCTTGCCATATTTTTCGCATTCTTCCTTAGTTTCAACTTCTAGATCTTCATCCACCTCCCCCGCACCTACCATGTTCTGAAAGTTAGAAGAAGAAACCCAACTCACTGGATGTAGTCTGTACAATTATGTACACAAGTCACGGGTGCCTGCAACTGTGACCATGAATACTTTAAGCTGCTGTTTACCAGTCAAGAGCCACAGGAGGAGACAGTTCCCTAGTACTAAGACAGGGTAAGTGTATAATCTAAAGCAGTGTTGATTTACAGTCACGACTTGTATCTCAGGAAGACACGTATTTTCTCCAAAACACCAAGCACCATGTAGGTGCAGGCCAGAACTGTTTGAACCATACGGAGTCATTGTAACAGGAACACAGGTTTAAACATTACCAGTGAATCCCAACTTACCCTTAGTAAGACCACTTTAGTTGGGCATTTCAGTATCTCAGTCAAGGGGTTAGAATCTGCTTTCTTGCCCGTTTCTATGAAGATAGAACAGTGAATCATGGAATAATTTAATATTAAAGCTCATTTAAACTTTATATGGGGGCTTTTATCAGAATCTTACTGTTATCAAACAATGGAATAAAAGCCACAAAATGTAGTTTCATATTGGTGAGGAACTAGGAACTCATACCTATTTGGAAGGACAATAAGCAGAAAAACCACTGCTACAGAATATGAATTAAGCTAAAACACTGACAACATACTATTTCTTTGAGAGAAATAATTCATAAGTTCAGAATTGTATCAGATCCCCTAAGAACTAAAAATCAGATCTCCTGACTTCCAACAGCTGTGCTCAGGCAGAGGTGCTGTTCTAGTAAGCCTGGAAGTTGTCTCCAGATCAGACAACAGCAGGGAAATGAGAGCAATATCTAAAGCACGTGATAGGGAGAAAGTCAGCAGAGCAGGATTGCCCCTTGAAGAGAGGAGTCTTCCAAACACTAAAGGAGGACAATGGATGAGGAAGGGGAGGATGAGCTAAAAGAATTAATAGACGACCACTTTAAAACAAGATAAGAGAGAGAAATTTCCACAAGAAGGAACACGAGTCATTCTTCCGACTCTATTTTCTGCAAGGACAGATGGTAAACAAAAAAAGTCCAGGAGCTTCCAACTGAACCTGAACTATTATTTGTTCTTGGCCATGTTTCACAAACTTATTGGTGTAAGACAAAATTACCTTTCTCTGCAGAATCGCCAACAATGATCTTGCCACCCCTCTTGCTTGTTTTCTCTACTGACAGTGCTGTGCTCAGCCCCTGTTCATGCTTTCCCAGCCCCTGGCCCTCTCTGAAACCATACTTTTGCATGATTTTATGAGCTACTGTCCCTCTGCAAAGAGAAAAAGCATCAGTTAGTAAAGGTTTCTTACACAAAACATTAACATTGCATTTCTCCTGAATGCTCAAATACTCTACCCTCCTAAAATCAGAGACTGAAATCCTAAGAGCCTCTACATGACTTTACAACCTAGCAATTTCACAGCATCCTGCGAAGATTAAAAGTGTTACCCCTGAATTATAGAGACAAGAGTGCTCAGAGAAGAAGTTGACCAAATAAAATTGTTCATACTTTTAGAAATAAGCCCAACCTCCACGAGCAGTGCAAGCTGGCATCATAGACTCTATAGAATGGTTTGGGTTGGATGAGACCTTTAAAGATCAGCTAGTCTAACCCCTCTGCCATGGGCAGGGACATCTTTCAGTAGGATCAGCTTGCTGACAGTAAATCACGAAACAGATTAGAGCAAGGACTATTTAGTGCAGTTTCTTGTCTCTGGCAATGGCTAGTATCAAAAGCTTGAGAGAAAAGGCAGATGTAGAATATTTACTTCCCACATTACATCACATCCCACTGTCTACTAGTTCAAAGCTGGCGTAAACTCTAGCCCTTCCTATAACAAATCTGGATATCCTCAGTATTACTTTAAACATGTCTGATCTTTCTGAATTTTCAAGAACATATTGAGGCAATAAAATCCTCAACCTATTTAAAGGTACCTTTTTTTTTTTTTTCTAAGTACCTTACAAAAAGCATCTCCCTGACAGGTTTTGAAATTCCCACTAAATGAATAGATAGAATCAAAATATACCTATGCGTGTTGACGTTTCTTTGGAGACCATAGCTAGATAGGCCAAGACACAAAAGATATGTCATGGTATAGTAGTCTACACCGCAGTCAATATTCTATACTCAGTCACCCCCATTTTACCAACAGGCTTATAAGATTACACAGAAAATGCAGGATTGGTGACTATATAATTTTCTAAGCATGCTATATGAAACACACAAAGACACATTAAAAAAGGCCAAAAAGTCTGACTATGTAATGCTGAAAGGTTATAACGCTAAGTCACAGAACAAACAGTAGCCAACTGTGTGGTCAAAGTAAGGCAGGTTAGGTCATATTTTTAGCACTTCCTTCAGTGAAGTGAAGGTCCCAGGGTATTGCTAACTAGAGGTGGTAACAACGCATAAACTGGTCCAACAGTACTGACTTTGGTTATCCTTTTTCTGGACAACGCAAAAAAAAAAGCATTTCTATCAAAAAAATGCATGAAAAGTTGTCCACAGAATGGAAATGCAGTGTAATAATGTAATAAACTACACTTTTATGTCTGCGTTCATCCTGGATATGGTTTTGACTACACCGAGTCCCCATATCCACAACACCCAATGAGACTGATAAGAGGGCCATAAGCTAACCACTACACCTTTCAAATGAGGCCTCTAAGCTCTTTTTAGCTATAAATTTGACTTCATTTTGTTGCCGCAGCAGTAACAGAAGCATTACACACAATGCTAATCCAAGGCAGGAAAGTAAATGGACAGATCTGCAGCCACAGCTGCTACAATCATGCAAATATGCTTTGAATTTTTGAACAAACAAACAAAGCAGAACTGAAATGATTTGCCCAGTGGTACATAGCAAATTTAAGACAAAGCTGGAAAAGAAACCTAGAGGAACTAACATGCCATCTGTGTTTTCCTGTATACTACATTAGCTTGGCTTGTACAAGCCCTAAACACTTTACACTGGAATGTGGCTTCAGAACTCGCTTAAAAGCACAGCCTTGAATGCAACAACCTCAAATGCATTTCTCTCGACCGATTAAGTCCACTGCTTTTTCTGTATCCTGCCAGGTCAGACTACATGCGGACTAACCACATACATGCAACAGGTTGTGTTCTTCCCTACCGACAAACTATTTTAACTTTGGTTTCCACCACCTTCTAATGCCCTTTTCCACAAAATGTGCGTAAGTCAATCATTTACCCCATGTTAGCAAGGAAAGAGTTGCTAGGTCCTGTGGGGGAACGAGGTCTTTCTGGCTCATCGTACGCTGGAGGAGGAATAGCTGCTTTGGAAGATGGTGCCCGAGGTCTCGACTCCTCTTCAAATGGAAAAGATGCTACAGCTGAAGAAAAGAGACATTTGCTTCTTTACTAAAATACTTTGCATGAACTCCCGACTTGTTATGAACACTGGAGCACTATGCCTTCAATCTGACTCATTTACAGACAGCTCTTCATCTGCAAGTTGTACTTTTTCCTGCTTTAATACTAATAAAATATGAAAAAAGTCTTTCACATAAATTCAAATCAAGTGGAGTTATTCTGGATTTTCCTCACTGGATATAGAGTGAGTTTGCATCCACGTGTCTATAATGAGTTTATTAATCTCTTACTTATCAAATGGAGAAAAGAAACATTAAGAGGCCACCTGCACTACAATGAGTTTATCCAGGCAGAAGGCAAGCAAACTTAAAAGCCCCATTCATCAGGAACAGAATTATGACAAAAATGGATCAATGCACACAGCTTGAGGCCTGAGGACTGTAAAGAAAAGTACACTGTATATTTACACAAAAGACAAATCAGTCTATTAAAAAGAATGAATGCAACTCGAAGCAAAGTACTTATACAGTCTTAAAAGATGTCACTGATAATTTCTGAACTGCAACTTTTCCTGGGGGATAGATACATGCATCTCTCTATATATCTATATCTCAATCATACTGATTAGATTATTAAACTACCTTCCACTCACAAGTCAAATGGCAAAACGTATGAAAAAGCCTACAGAACACTAAAGGAAATATGCAGAACACACTTTGGAACGTACTTATGGACTGACTTAATTTCAGATTATTTTCTTGTGAACTACTGCTTGTGTCTTACCAAATAAAGTGTCAGACACGAAGTTTGGGGATGTCGTATGAGGAAAAAAATCCCTATTTAGGCAGCAGATGGGCTTCTGCTACAGCAATATTTTCTCAGGTTTTTCCAGCCAGGCTTTGAGCATCAAGTAACAAGGCGTACAAAGGTTTCCTTGTGAGATCATGTCACATTTTGAAAGCTCTCCCCCTCAGGATATTTCTACCATTTCCAGCCTATATTTACTTTTCCTTGACACCACTCAATTGCTCTTAATTATTTACTCAAAACAATCTCTTTCTGTTTTTAATATTTACACACTTCAAATACTTTCACTATTATATCATTCACTTACTCCGCCAAGCTTCAATTTTTTTTTAATTTGAATCTTCTCATAAATAAAATCAGGACTCCCAAAGGAAAGTTTGTGCGCGTAACGTTATTTTTTTCTTATTATTTTCTAACATACACAACATACTGTTCATTGTTATAATTAAAAAATTTAAGACAATTAGACATGCAAAAAAAGGGAACAGTTTTGTTCTTAGAGCAAGATTATGCCATCTAGTGGGCAACTGAAATCTTCAAGCTATCTTCACAGGGAAACCCCAGTGCAGCAGATACTGCATCCCTCAGAGAGGTACAAAATTCTGTCTGTACTGCAAAACCCCTTCAGAAAAGATATTCATGAAGTGCCTTCTAAAGCAAAGGGTAATGGAAAAACTCCCTTTTCATGCTGCGGAGGTTTCTAGTCGACACAGAGAAACCTGTCTGCAACATTTCCTCTTTTGCATCAGAAATGAGTAACTGAACATGGTTCTAACAGACCAGCTTGCCAAAACAGTTCGCTAGCAATACAAAAAGAATCCTTTAGAACAGAGATGTGAAGCACAGTAGTATCGCAGGTTCCCCACAGCTTCTCCCCATAACAAAGAATTAGTGCAAGTTCTTCTGTCACATTTTTTTTTCTTAACTGAACAGAAGGTTGTATGAGAAATAAACACCACTGCTAGGTGGTAGATAACAGGATTTTGGTGTACTTACGTTCTTTGTCCTTTTCAACAAGAGAAGTGGGTGGTGCAATGGCAGCTCCTCCCATACCTATGAGCAAAATTAAAGACAATAAATTTGTATGATTAGGTTCTGCTGCTCGGAACAGCTTCACTGAATCTTAATCCAGCTGCCAGCTCCTTAGCAGCCGATTCTTAACATACATCACTATCAACAGAAAACTAGCGAGAGAGCAGCCTGAGAAGTTTCGACAGCGGTGAACTAGCAATGAATGAAAAGCACATCAAGAGAGAAAAAAATCAACCTGCAGCGATGTACTACATACGGTGTCTATCGCAAACATATTTCATAGAATTTCAAAATTAAAGACTGCATGAAACAAACCTTCAGTTCTAAACTGCTCGATTAAGCCAAAAAGCCCCCAACTCAGCCTGTTCAGGATTAACTACACTGTCGTAAGAGTGAGGTACAAAGCCACTTCCATATTTTAATAAGCACTATTCTAATGTAGTCTCAAACTTCCAAGGCAGAGCAAATATTTGAAATGTCCCGTCAGAAATTTTCTTTTCTAAAATAAAAACAGACCCAAATTATTTACCGTAACCTTGTTGCTGAAAGAGAATAAAGTTTAATTTTGTTTATGCAACGAACTCTCTCATCACCCAGATCCACATTTTGCTAACTAGTTCTAAGGGCACTGAAATAACAAATGCAGGAACAGCATGTTTTTATAGTGAAAACTCAACAGTGATTCTTATAGCCTGATTTTACCTCAGGATTTTACCCCTTTCCCAGAACCTACACCATGCAGAAACTTAAAACAGGTGTCTATAAACTAATGTAAAAAGAGATCTTTCCACAAATAATTTTGCTGCCGTCTCCCTCCACGGAGAAAAGTTTTCTGCATTACAACAGTTATGATGTAATAAAATGCTAGGTTTATTATAAAGGCTCAGGAGTAACAGTATACTTCTCAGCCGAGAAAAGAGAAATACAGAATCCACGAAACAGGAACAGGGTTGTGAATTCCCCCCTCTCCCCCTTTGTCTTCTCTTTCCCCATCCAAAAAAATAAACAGCTCCCTTACTTCTTTTTCGTCTCTCCCTTTCATAATCTTCATCTTCGTCAGAATCAGGATCTGGTCGTCTTGAAAACCCACTGGCTTCATGTCTGTCTTTACGTCTTCTGGGAGACACAGTAAGTTAGGATAAGAAACCATCAAAGTTAATTCTTTGCTTTAATTTGCAATATCCCCTCTGCAGTGTGAATTATACTGCTACATTCTAATAGGCATTTTACAATGTTTTCCATGGAGGTGTAAGTAAACACCTTTAAATTTTGTTTCTTTGCTTTTATTTTCATGAAGTACTTTTTGTAAAATAGAAGATGATCCAAAGGAAATAATTTTCCACGTGCAACTTTGTATGAATGTATGAAAATGAGGAAGCATCTGAATAAATCTAGTCCAGACTGACTACAGTGACTGAATGACTACAATGGAAGAGGTGGTGGATGGAATCGAAAGGAAGGTAACAGAGACATGAATCAATCACCCTGCTTTGAACAGAATCCCTTTTAAAGTCACCATCACAGGCTTTACAGAGTATCATTTATCAGTCAATTAAAAAAATAATCATCACACTTAAATGATCAGATTATTGAGAAGCTAGCTTGGCCACTGAAAGAAGGTTCAGGCAAGTCTATTAAAACTTTTTACATTTAGCTGAGAAATGCTTCAAGAATTCTTTGCACTTCCAACTGTTATTTACTGTGATCACAAAAATCACTATTTTTAATACTATAGAAAAAGGAGTATTTTTCAAAAAAAGTTGAAGAGCACAGCTTGGGGCATAAATCAGATCTCATTCCCAGCACAGCCATCAAAAACTATGCTACAAGATGCTAAAACCAGTGCTACTATGGAACTAGACAAAAGTTCTGAATCTCTACACTGTGAATTTAAAACAAATGTACACCCTGTTCAAACACCCGGGTTATCACAAAGCAAACACCTGATGCAGGTTTGGCTGAGATTGTCTCCCCAGTTTTAAATCAGAATGTAGGTTGTATTTTTCCCTTCCTCTCTCTAATGTCATGTAGAGACAACCCTCTGGGCCAACATACAACAAGTACAAGCACGACTAAATCGCAACCAGCGCTGAAGCTGTGGAGATGACAGCCCAGATTTCTGAGTTATTGCATGCCGATATGGCAGAGCCTCAGGCATTTCTCCTCCTCCACTAGAACAACGAAGATACAAACCAGAGAAGTCCAAATGACTAGAAATATTAATTTCCACAATCTAAACAGGGCAAGAGAATGTAAATGTAGTTCCATAGACTTTTGATGATTCATACCATGATGAAGTTGGCTTATTAATTTCACTTAACATAAGCTAATGTAATCTTACTGCCTGGCTGGCAGATGTTTTACCACCTATTTCAATAGGTCATTGAATCTGCACTCAACTTCTTAAATATTAGAGGGATATCTTATTCCAGGGAAAGGGCATTAAAATAATTAAAAGTAAGTAGTGTTTTCTTTTGTCCAGAGACAAGAGAGTAATAAATACACAATTAACTTAAACTGAATGCAGAATATTGAAGAAGAAAATGCAACTATGCCTCTCAAAGGCTGTGCTAGCTACATCTTTAAAACTGAATACATTCATGGATTGGTTTATGGTATTTAAAAGCAGAAAGGATGGTTTATCATTGAGTGTTGAAAGGTATATCTGTAGTCAGGTTATCCTGACAAGTACCCTAAAATACCTTCAAAGTCAAAGTCTGATAATGATGCATGAAGTACCCAAATACTGCTGCTACTATTGAAATAAAGTAAATGTAGAAAAACTTGACATGTCTTTCAGCCAAGGAGGCTGTAAACAGAATAAATCCTGTAATTTCTGCACTGTTAGGCAATTTTAGCAAGAGCATTAAAACTAATTAATTAAAGAATTTCCCTGAAACTGCTTAGAGGGATAAAACTAAACAAATCAATGTGTCTACTCTTTACGTAACTGTCAATATGTCATGAGTTTAAGCAAAACCCTTACTTTTCTCTTTCTTCAATCTCCTTTTGCCTCTCCAGCTCACGCTGCCTCTGTCGTTCCTCTCTCTGACGTTTTACCACTTTTTCGTAGTCATTTGGGAACATGGGATCATACTCATCTGCCAGAGGAATCAGCACATCTCCCGCAGAAAAACCACTAGGTACAGGATCCTTAAAAAAGAAGAAGGATATTTTTTCAGCTGAGATATGAAAACAACACCCAGCTGGAAACCAAGAATGTAACGCTTCCTTCTCTCAACAAGATAAACCTCAATTCCTGACTTCTGTAACATCAGGTAATATCCTAATCCCACTGGTACCAGGAGAAATCTTTGCTTTACTTAAAATGAACATTTCACTCAGTCTCTCACTATCTCAAGATTTTTCCATGAAGACACACCCCCTCCCACTCACCCTGCCAAACACAAAGCAGCAGCAAATCAATGTGGACAAGAACTTCTCAAACCCCATTAATTCATTATGAGATATATTATGGTATCTTGCTGTTGCAACCATCTGCAAGGGGTCCTCCCACACGATCTCATCAGTCTTTTACATCATCTTTTATTAACATAATACCGACAGAGATGCACATACTGTTCCTCTCTCATTTGAAAGAGCTATTTCAGAACCATCACCTTTGAAGAAGTTTCAGGGAGAAAGTTTATTTTGATTCCTTACCAGAAGAAATCAATTTTAAAAGGTGAGATGGCTTTTCTTGTATTTTTAAGTTGATTGTTATACAGGTCCAGTTCCAACACTGGTGCAATTACAACTACATTCAGTGTTTACCTGACCAAATTGCTGTCTTGCAAAGTACTTTGAAGCTGTCCAGGAGAAATATGCTAGGAACTGCATATTAACCTTGGTAATTCTATATTGTATCACACAGAAATCTGTATAAAGTTGAAACATTCATTAATTAACCTCTGAGCAGTGGAAATCAATTTCAGAAAATGATCACTTCTTTGGCTACTAGGAAAGATGATGAAAAAATAAAAATACAGACTGCAGTCAATGAATTTCAATTCCAAAATATCTGTTAACAGCTGGACTTTTTAGCTGTCTTGGTCTTACCTTTAATCCAGCTGCTACGTGAGGTGGTGTGTCCACAATCTGCCTCTCATCAGAAGAGCTACCTCGTTTCAGATCAATCACTGGAGCAAGAACTGTTGTTTGTTTTGTTCTCTGACTCTGAAAAACCACCAAAACACAAAATGTCTAAAGATAACACAATAGTCTTCTAAAAAGCAGCTTGCTTTATATACTTGCAGCTGGTATCTCCAATTTTTTTTTTTTAAAGGATAAAAACCACTCTCAAACTCTTCACTGTGCAAAGCTTAATATATAATTTCTCTTCAGTTTATCAACATACGGTAATTCTCAGCATTTCAAATGAACCTTGACGTGGATAACTTAGTTTATCCCATATTTTATTGCTGGCAAAGGCCCCTCCGTTCCGAGACAGATGCTTGCCAGCTACAGTTAAAGAGCTGCTACACAAACACAGATCTGATGCAACATTTCAAAGAACACTTCAGTGAAACCAGTGCATGCCTTGCTCTTTTTAAGCCAGTGAGATCAGACTTTTGCTTGTGTTCACACAAGCACACACAGTGGTAGGTGAATGGTCCTAGGTTTGGACTAGGACCACAAACACACAGTAAAAATTCAGATGCTTTCTTCAGATGAGTTTGAACTAAGTGGGTTTTTTTTAAGAAGGGGCTCAGACTTACTCCGAAGATCTACTATTCTTTGTATTTTATAATTTGATAAAATGCATTAATCTATTCTGAAGTCTGAATTTTCCAATCCTATTCTGTTCTTCTATTACTCTATGCATACACTGCCTAACAGTTACATAGACAAAGAATATATCTGATATAGCAGCCATTTAGATTTCACTCTTGCAGGTTGTGTCAATTATCAACTAAATCCTGCCCTCAATTTTAGCAGCATAAGGAGTAATTCCAGTGAAAAAATGTTGTGCCTACTTAAGTATTCGGTATCTATGCTACTACCTCTTTTACTTTAGAACCTACACACCAAAAGGAACACACGCATGTCCTGCCTGAACCAAAACACCACCAGTGCTTAAAGAAAAAGCATGAAATACCAGAGCAATAAAAAGAGAAAATAGCTCTGTCACAATTTAAGCTCAAGGAATTAGCTTGCAATCCTTCTCCCTTTCCTGTACACTGGAAATACTTCCTGCAAAAATTTCTAATGCATGACAATTTGCACTTTAGCACCGAAAGCCTTTTAAATACCAAGTATAAAACGATGCAAACATGTAAATAACAACTGATGCAAAATGCCGAGAATGACCAACAGCCAGTATTGCCAACTATCAATCACAGTACGACCCTTATTTAAAAAAAAAAAAAGCTTAATCTCATTACCTTTAAAGTTAGATTTGAACATCAGCTTTTGGTTCTGCTGGTTAAAAGATCTGAGGCTTGCAGCACACACATCAGTTCTTCATTCAATTTTAACTTTGCAGGACTTCCTCTAACAGACTTCAAGAAACATGACTCTCTCCTTCCTCCCCCCCCGCCCAGCTTTGTAGGCTCCTTGCTACAAACTCATAGACAAATCCTAGCAAAATTACCCCAAATTGGTATTCTAAGGTCACAAACTTTCCTCAGTGCTCCGAACGCAAAAGGCGTTTGAATACCAGAGAGCAAAAATACAAAGAGACTATACCTTTGCTTGTGTGAGAGCTGCTTTCTTCACCTGCAATTGAGACTGTAGTAGCTTGAAATTTTTGGACCAGCCTTCTGTTTTAGAATCGCTGGTCTCAACTCCCAAGTCATCGTAAAGTGACATTTTCTCTTCAACTTAAAACTAAAAGACAAAAGAAAAAAATCCAGATGACATAACAAATCTATGTCCAGGGCTTATTTGCTACCAGTTTGCCTATGTTTGTACACCATATTTTTATAATATCTTTTTTTTTTTTTTTTCCAAAGCCAGAGAAAATTCAAAGTAATAACATTTTTCTGGTTAGGAGCAGATACACATGACTACAGTAAGGCTGTTCAAAAGTAACTGTTTGAAAGGTAATGAATACTGCTCAAACGCTAACAGGTGTCAGAAACTACCTAAAATTACATTTGTGGCATTAGATATCAATCATTTCAGGCTTTGAAGAAGTTAGCTGTAGTCCTCACTGGTATTTTGAAGTTTACAAAGATATTCAACAGCAAGTATCACACCAACCTCAAGGCTTCCGAATCAAATACAAAGGAATCACTGTCTCTGGTGACCTTAAAAACTACCGGCGCAAATATATCAACATTCTAATCATCTTAAATTTAACTATTTTTGCACCACTGTAAAGGAATATCCTTCTTAAACTAAATACATTTGCCAAAGTGTTATTAAGCAACTATTTCCACAACATTTAAAGGCCTCTCAAATACACAGAACTTATACATGCATATACACACAAACTCGCACATGTATATGTACATATACATAGAATTAGCTAGGTAACAACATCAATAACAGGACATGAAATGTATCACTTTGTCTGATACTGCATCTGACATGGATGGAAGAAGAGATTTGAATGTAAAGTGACATCTATCACCTGTGGAACAACCTGTAAGCTCATTATTTAGTCTCCAATAGGCCTGGATTAGACATCTATCACCTGTGGAACAACCTGTAAGCTCCAATCCAGTCTCCAATAGGCCTGGATTGCTATCTCCACCCAAAAACTTTAACTTCTTAATTTACCACAGGATCAAACATGACTGATTAACAGTCTGCAGTGAAAGCTTATAGACTCATCAGCAAGATTTTGATCTCGACAGATCTGACAGATGTGAGGGAACCTGCCTGACATATACGAGATGACTGTTGCTACAAATATAACTTAAATGCATTTAAACCTGGGGGAAAAGTGTCAGATGCAGCAGACAGCAGCTATATTACAACTCCAAAAGGTGGCAAGCTCGGCAAAATTTAAAAAAAAAAAACAACCAACAATTTAATCCTGCAGTGGTGTATGAACAACCAGGGCTCAGGAGGACAGGGTTCACTGCAAAAAAATGGAGGAGGTTGCATTCATGGGACGTTATTATACATATGGGTACAGGGAATGAGACATATAGGGGAACGTTATAATGCCTATGGGAACAGGATGAGGACAAGGCACTACAACAAGTCCCACCTGCCACAGGGGAGTAGAGCTTACGCAGTAGGAGCGCAGCTGTTCTGGGGCAGATATGAAGCGCCTGGGGCACGTTATGCTATGCCTATGGATACAGGGAAGGTGCTGCCACCGCGGGAAAGGGACTTTCTGCCTCAGCGCCTGGAGGGCGGGG